GGCAACGAACTCGAACAGCAAAGGTCGGGTGCCTCCATGGGAAATCTCTTCATCAGCCAGATGATTGCTATGCATTTAAATGTCTAGAACTAGGCCTTCAGAGGATCTGTAGGTGAGCTGGATTTTTGCGTAGGGGGGCCATATAAAAAAAGGTACAGTACAGGAAAACCAACACCTCGAACTTAAATGACACTTTTACCACGCTTTTAGAATATTTAAAAACTATGTGATACCCACCATGTTATCAACATTCTTGCCAATGCACTTCCAAATTCCGGAAGATACTTGGCATTGTGCTGTGATACAGGGTGGAGGTGAATACTTTCGGAATAGAAAGTGCATCGTGATGGAAAGCTTTGGCCAAGTGCTGTGCATAATGCACGATATGGCACGAGAAGGAACAGCTATCTTTAGTTGGATACTGCGGACCGTTTTCACTGCTCTAAACTAGACGGGATCGACTGAAGGAATTACAGTTATTAATTTACCTTGTCAATCAACCCATATCTCATCGCTCAGGAATAGTCGATAGAACCCTCACGGCTTCCTACTCATGGCGTATGGCCAGGGTCCCGTCTTTAAAAAAAAAGATTAGCCAATCGAGGCAAGTTTAGGTAAAACACAGTATACAGGGGCAGTCTAGCTGGTGGAAGGCACAGTTCAGGTAGCGTGCATATCGAGTACGTGTACTGTACTCGTCTACGAGTACAAGTAAAATGGCTTGGCGGGGTGCGACAAATGAGGTATCATAAGCGCCAAAATCTACCCGAGCCCAGCTCAGCCACAACGTTTACCACTCCAACGACTTAGCCCTATCGAGTACTAGCATGATAAAATCTTAGAGACCTTATAGGCGTGCTTTACATGCATCTCAAACGAAATTTCAGGTGTGCGCCGCATTATTGTTTTCTTATTTCTCTTTCTCTGCCCCGTGCTACGGAGGTTTTATATACCACCGAATTTAGAGTTACCACGATGGTAAACTCAGCCTCATAAGGTAAGAGAACCCAGGGATTTATTTTGCATGGAGACCTGAGTGGCCCTTGAGCGACTGACTTGGATGGGTTACCTAAGGGACAAACAGGTAGGCATCAGTTCAGCTACACAAGAGGCAGAGGGGGAGGAAGGGATGGGAAAGGAGGGGATTTGCTCTGGGGTCTCTACCAAATTAATGCGTGTATTACGAGATAGTAGAGTACTACTAAGACTAAGTGATTTGCTAGTCCGTCTGAATATTCAATACTTGTGAGCAGCGGGAATTGGAGCGAGTGATATCGTATAGTTATCATCTTTGGGAGAAATTATTAGGACTTCTGACTGTTTTTCTAACACCCGGCCCGTGGGGACCCGGCCTAAGCCCGAGCGAAGCCGCCATAATTAAGCCGACTGAGGATTAGAAAGTTTAATGAGGTGAAATAATTCAGCACACCCCGAGCTAAGGCCTAATACCTTGATCAACTCCGTAATTTATTTGTAATGATCCCAGGAGCCACGGTCACCATCCATCGTCCTCCTCTTCGTCCTTCTATTACAAAAAAGCATGAAAAGGAAGATCCAAGGCTTCTGGTCTCGTATACCCGGTATCCTGGGTATACTTGGAATTCTATTTTATAAAAAGAACAAAGCAAAAAAGACCTGTGGCTACCGGCACTCCCTCCTTGCGGCACTGGGTTACTACCATACCGTGCGGGCGTTGGGTGTCGGTCCTGATTATCAGTTTAGAGGGCCCCCGACAGATCCGCTAAATTATCCCTACATAACCAGAGACTCCTAAGCAACCACGTTTTTCTCAAATGCGACGGTGAGCCAGGGTAATTGGTGCTCTAGGGTTTCTCCAAATTCAATTAGGGAGGAGGGAGAGATCTAATCTCAATGTTTTGCCTGACCCTCCCTCCCCCCATAAAGTATCACAATGCATATGTACGGAAACCATCGAAATGGGGTGTGTACCGCCCCCTCCCCCTCACCATCAGAGGTTAGGAACAAGGGAGGCAGCCCTCTCCGATACCAGTAAACTTTTTCTATCAACGCATCCAACGCTTGGGGTGGGGGGGGTTCCGGGGATCTCTCGAATACGAATGACGAATAGGACCTCTCCCTTCGTTGGTCGAAAAAGGTATTTATTTAGGCTCAATACCTCCCTAAGTGGAGTACATATTCCGCAAAACATAACCACCAACGCCTCACACAAGTTCTCACCCACTCACTCTATATACTATAGAACCATACCACAAGACAAAGGAGTAACCAGCCCACACAATGGACTCAATGAACAACCCACAAGCTCTCCCTCTACTAACCTCCGGCCACCCCACGCATCAGAATTCGAACACCCACCCCGCATACCCACACCTATGCGCACACCCTATCTACGACTTCCACAGCCCCATCTTCTCCGCCAGCGAAATCGCCTCCATATTCTCCCCCTCCTCCTCCTCAAGCGCGACCCCAAACGACTCCCAGCCAACCTGGCCAAGCCTCTCCTCCCGAATGGAACACATAACCAATCGCCCGCCAACGCTGCAGCCCTCAGCGGTCTGCGTGGGCGAGTATACTTCTGCTTCGGTGGCGCACCCCTGTTATACACATGGCGTTGGGCAAGTCTTCCATAATTGGTCCACCCACCCCGCAACAAAAAAATTTCGCCAGATGATCGCCTCCACTCCGGTGGTACAGCCTATGGGCACTGGGCCTGCACAGATACTAAAGGGCTACCTCGATGGCTTCGACTGTGGACGTAGCCCGCTGGAGGGGACGTGGGTATTGAGATTTCTGCTGGTTCCTAAAGTGAGCGCTGGGGGAGGGGGGTGGTGGGATAAAGTCCGCTTTGGTGGGAATTTCTGCGATCCAGATGATGGGTGTGAAAGAGAGTTCAGGAACCTGGCGCTGGTCGCTGTGCGCGAGGAAGGGATGAGTAGGGAGGAGGTTAAGAGGAAGTTGGTAGATTTTGGGAAGCTCTTTAGTGTGGAGGTGGTGATTGTTTCTTCGCTTGGTTGATTGCGCTGCGCGCGGAGCTTTCTGTGTAAGTTACGTGTAGCAGTACGGGGCCCGAGCGGTGGTGCCATCATAGATTTCTTCCTGTTGTTTCTCTACATTTTTCTGTTGTTTGGACATTCTGCCTTATCTTGCTGCTTCATTTCGTTAAATCTCATTTCTTTTCTCTTTACCTCTCCCCTTAGATTACACTCAGTCACTCTAGCTAGACAGCCAGTACATATGATATCACTCGTTTTTTAAACTTGTCCAGCAAATTCCCAACACGGTCCATCTTCTGCTATGGCCTAGAAAAATAATATGAGTGGTGGGTTTACGATACTATTGTGTTTGTATACAGAGCGCCCGTCCTTTCCCGCAGCGGTCCGAAGGGTGGTGCTCCCCCACCTCCCGCAACCCGTTCCCTTCCCGTTCACCCGCTCCCCGGAACAATGCCAGGAGCAAAAGTACCGTATGCAACAGAGGACCACTGGGAAAAATAAAATTCAATAGCACATGCATCGTTTCAACAAAACCCGTTTGGCATCCATCTCCATGATCCAAGCATCATGCCTTCACACTATTGTCCGTCTATGCGTCGGGCTCTTCCATCTCGTGTAACCAATTAAGGCTTCACGAGTGATGCCCCATGTTTCTCACCGGCCCAACTATGATGGGGGATCCTCGCAAGAAAGGAAGTGGGGGCCAGTTAAATTACGCGTTGTGTGGTGGGAAAGGCGTGTGTGTACTTTGCCATGGCTCAACCCTTGGCAACAACCAATATTAGCTAACACGTGACACCGAACACTCGGTTCACCACAGACGCCGGTGTGAAGTTGATTCTATGCTGGCAAGATAGGCTAGCCTGTTACTCTATCCATCTCCATCCGCCCCTCCTGACGAATAATGACTGGGCTGGGTAAAAGTAGCTAGGGCACAGCCTCGTGATTTTGAATCACCCTGTTTTGGAGTTGGGGATGGTGATCAAGCACACAGTCTAGAGCTTCCATGAGTCGCGGGCTTGGGCATTCGAGGGCTAGGAATCGTGTTTTCAGAAAGCGGTCTGCTAATGCCCGGTACAATACATGGCTGGTGTGCTTTTAGATTGTTCAACCAAACTTTATTCCCTAGAATAATATGATAATCGTATCAAGTAGACCAACTTGGGAACCCCCTGAGCCGCTGGCATTCCCAGGCATTCCCAAACTGAGTTCCCCGGATCTGGTGTTATGGGTGGAAGCCGTACCGGTACTCTTTCTCCTTGGTTCGCCTCTGAGCCTCAACTAGTCCCCTTCCCCCCCCCGCAGAATTGTACCTATCCTCTGCTAAGCAAAATATTATTCACTAAATTCTGGTGAAGATCCTTGCTCGCCCTATTTCACCGCCCAGACCATGGAGCGGTAATACTGGTTACAAGTAGAACTGTATTTGACCGGTATCATTGAGTTTGGCCGTCCCCGGTGGTTTCTGGCCTGATTTGCGCGCCGGCGAGGTGATGTGCAATGGAATTGCGGGATCATAACCCTAAAGAGTACGATTTGCGTTGGTGTGCTATGTGGCACAAGGGACTGCTCGTAGCTTATCTAAGCAACTATTATACAAAGTATGATAAGTCCTCGGTGTTACCTCCGATCACGCCAGGACAATGGTATGATACCGCAATTTGGCTATGATAGAACTTGCCCAAAACACCTGTACTGTAGACTACTCGAGTAACCGGAGGTTATGCGACACATCTCCCCTGCAAGTGTGTTCGATCACCCCCGGGGATAATCTAGCGAAATCCAGGTTTGATACCGTTAATGTACCCCCGTATTCTTGCGATGGGACACAGATTGTTTGACTCCCTGGTCTCTCGGAGGGATATATTACCCTAACTTTCCTTGATGAGAGTTCCGGGCGCGGTAGACGCGGAGGGTAAACCCTAATGACAATCAATCTTCACAAGTCCGATTAGTGAAGGCTAAGGGAGGACTACCTTCCGAGGTTGAACCAGTTAGAATAGAGAAATGAGGAGTTATAGTCGGGGCACGGTTGGCCGGAGCGTTTTGGCGAGGCGCCCAAAAATATAGCTTATTCTCGCTGTGAGGAAGAAATCAAGCCATATGTATCCGACTGGAGCGGACCAAAGATCTCGAAGGGGCGTTGGGTGGAAGCCGCACCCATTTCTCGAGCCATTAGCAAGCTGAGGAGCCACAGAACGGACCATATCAATTCCGCAACCCTTACCCGGTAGTGAGGACTATTTGGAGTATATCCTGCGCTATTTTTCCACCGTCGGAAGAGATGAGGTCATAACCAGTCGAGTCAAAACAAAAAAAAGCAAACTAGATCTTATAGCTTCGAAATGTTAACTGGATTCTCACTTGGCAAGGCCTAGACATAAGAGTACCGTTTCCATAACGCATTATTGGGCTCACCTTTTTAGGCTCACCTTTACAACTTCCTGTCATGTAAAGCTACAGTAATCTTGGATGAGTCAGCAATCACGGTGTAAACTTCAAGTCAAGCCGAATCCACGGGGGCAGGAATGGCCAACCCCGGCATTAGGGCTTTCCATATCCTCTATCCCCCACCGGCTCGGCCCATACGCCCTTATGTGAAGTAAATATCCCCACTGGGATTCCTCGAGTTGATTGTCCTTGGTGTCTAGACTATTGCTCTCCCGGAGCTATGGTCGTTTCCTCCAGCTCTGTCAGCACTAGAAGTGGTGCGATGAGACAGCAGTCTATGAGGGAGTTTAAGTTACCGGTATCCTACTAACTTATCGATGCTGTTGTAGGATAATAATAATAAATTTGAAGTACTATGAGTAGTAGATATTTTCGGAAGGTTGGGTAATCGCCTACCCTACCGGGGCAGCAGCATCATCACCCTCGGTAGGGCTATCCATGCCACAAGGCGAGGAGGGCTCGCCAAAGGAAATTCTTCCGATGTCGGTGTGTGGGCGAAACGAGGTGGGGTTTGACATTAACCCGGTTTACATCCCGCTACTCAAGCAACTCTAACCATTCCCCTGGAGACCAGCATATTGCTCCCCGTACAGACTTTCCGTTGGCCTTACAATCCGTAGGGAAATAGGCTCAGTCCCCCAGCAAGCCATACTCCGGTGGGGGTTCTCCGATACTCCCCCCTCATGCTATCAAGTATCATTTTTTTTTAATAGAATTTTATGCTACTATAGCCCTGGGAGGCTGAAGAACGGTGGCTTAGAGGTTAAAATATTAGCTTGTGTATGGCACAGTACCGGTATTAGCTGCGCTCATCGAGGGGGCGACGAGAGCTGCGTGGCGATGGACCAGGATCAGTACAGTGCTGTACAGTACCGGTACAAGGGTAGGAGCTTGTTAACAAGAAGGGGCAGGGATGAATTCTATTGTTCCGTGCCTTCTTGCCCCACTCTGTCACAAGTTTTTCTTTATTACCCTGTTTTGACAAATTTACTTTTTTTGTCGGCTGAATATGACTTCCGTGTTTGCCACCCCCCGCTTTTCGTCGTGCCTCATTGAAGACGGTATGTAGCACGGTTTCCCCAATGCAAGAGCCAAGTCGGAAGCCTCTTGAGGTATGTACAGTACTATCATGATGGTTCTTGATGCCCGCAACTCGGGCCTAGACCAGCAACACTGGTGAGGACGCCTTGTGATCCACAAAGGCATTACTTACAAATCTAGCATAAACTTCTCATGTGATCGAGCTCGTATGATACAGTATTCACCTCCCCTGGGTCCGGTCACGGTCTCGGGTCCTGAGAGCAAGGACTTAATCTTCGCAATCCTACCGGTACTGTACTTATTGAACTTCTGGGGAGGTTTTGGTAATCAGGCCCTGGGTAAGTCGAACATCCCATGCGCACCGGGGTGAAAGGGCATGTAAGGTACCGCCCTTGGAGATTTATTAACCCCCTGACTCTCACTAACATTGGATCAAGTTTATCAAAAGGGTATTCCGATTGAGGGATACCTGAAGAGACACAGGCGATGGCAATCTAATTCTTGGCTCCAGCCGGCGTGCGTGGAGGGTTAGAGCGGGGTGTAGAAAGAAACCGCAAAGTGGGGCTCAGTCTCAGGGATAGTGCTTGGCAGATATTGCAGCAATTTTTGGAAATGCAAATATTACCCCGCCGCATATCGGGCGAGAGGTGGATCCGGGGAAGTGGTAATCATGGATTAGACGACGAACTGGTGGCATTCTCGACCGATATGTCGTACCAGCGGGCAGCAAAAAATTGATTGATCAGACTCTCATCAAGAATATTTCCTAAAGCTCGCTGGGCTCCGAGATCCCGGGCCAATCACATGTGGGAGGTCGTGTTTTGATAGGTATCATAACAAAAGGTTCGATCGGCCCTTCCTCCATGAATTCAAATCCGGCCACGAACCTTGTCTCAGCCACAACCTTAGTGTCAGGGGGTCTAAGATCCTCACATTATCAAGAACCATTACCTTAGATTATAAATAGAAAAACTCATGTGAGGTGAGTAGAATTAAGAATGGAGGGAGTGTGCTTGAGTAGTAGATTCAAGCCACCTTCTAGAACAAAAAGAGCCAATTCAATGTCGTGAGGGCTCTTCAGAGCAAGCATGGTGCGAGCTGTGGAGCTTATCTGACAAGGTCTTCCTAATCATTGAAAAATTTTTATGGGCGCCGGTTTTTTTCTCAATTGTTGCAAACCGGGAGCCAATCTTGTGTGTATTATTGGCACCCTATGGTCCATGAAATAATTGCATTTTTGTTTTAACTTTTGATCGTCAAGGACCTCGCCTTGCCTTTAGGAATATCGGGAGTCCATGTGAGAATGGTGTGATTCTAGAGCAAGAACAAAGATCAACTTGGAGGCGCGAGGTTTCGCAAAGAAGAGAGTGGGGGATAAGCAGAGCCTCGGAGCATACTCCTGGAAAGTCTGTCGGACCCCCCACATAATGCATGGTTTGTACTGGAGCTCCCGCCGGTACCGCCATTACATTGCGGTCGCCTAGCCTAGGCAATTATGTGTACCGGGCAACGATTTTTGAGCTGTGCTTGCCCTTGACAATAAGTAACCGGAAACAGGGGCTCACAACCAATATGGCAAAAAGTTCCTGTGTTTGGATACCCATTAAATTTCAGAAACCCAGCCCACCGGCACAGTACCCGCAAGAAGTACCCGAAGGGAGGAGGGTATATTTAATATCGGCGCTCAGATATGCTTTGGAATATTTTTCGTTAACCCATGTTTCCGAGCACTTCTTGCCTGTGAAAAACATCCGCTGAAACAACTCCTAGGAGGAAGAAGATTAAGGGAGTTGACAAGGATCATCCTTTACTCCGCATCTCCAATCGGGCTCATATAGGATCATTAGGTCCAATCAGAGAAGTCATCTGCATTAGCATTAGTATTGGGTTTCCGTACTTGTAGATCAAGGGCAGAGATCTACTAACTTACCGCCTTGCCCAGAAAATCAGCACTCGGTTCCCTAGGTAACCCTTCTCACAGGCTTCCACCATGGGAACCACTTCTTTAGCCTCCCGGAGCCGAGTTGACGAGGGGATTAGAGATGGCCCGAGGAAGAGTGCGTTCCAGGGAAAGCCCCGATTGTTTGAATTCTATCCTGGAAAACACTTACCGTAAAGAGCCAGGTGGTTGAGAATGGCGCTAGGACGTCCAGAATTTTCCCCTCTGGATTACGGAGAAATAACACAGCGAGGAGATTATATTTCAGTCCTCAGCTGAGACAAATAACAAATAAAACACACCTTACCAGGAGAGGCAACTTCAACGTCCTATCGATGTTCTGAATTATTTTGGTTTTTACGGAAGCAGTAGAGTAGCCCCAGTGACTACATTACATAAAACACGGCGGGTATAGTAATGGGGAAATGCAATAGAGATAGATTTGACTGTATCGCGTTGCTTAGAATTGCAGTTTGCAGAGTATGGCAAAAGGGTAGCTACGCTCAGTAGCTCAGAAATACACAACCTATTCTAGTGAGGTTTCCTGCAGAACCGAACTAGGTGAAGCTGCAAGTAGCGCTGCTGTTTCTGCTGCGTATTTTCTCGCCTCCCGGCGTACCTAATCTTCCTCAATACCTAGCAAACTTTGATACCGAGTAATCCTAGGAATTCACAACTGCATTCTGACAGTAGGTATAGAACTTATTGACAAATAGTATCCTTCCATCGCGTTACACCCAGGGTAGGATGCCAAGTTATGTATTATACCCCTGTAGGAGGGGATCGCGCATATCCAGCCAGCTTTCGTGTTTTCCCCCGAATCAACAATGTGGGATTAAACTGGTGTTCGCCACGAGCTGAGGAGTCCTAAGGTTCCGCTCGAGCCGGGCTTGAGCATTTGAGATATTTTTCTCCGCGTTTCTCTTCAAATTTCCCTAGGGGTAAGATGGAAGAAGAGGGGGACCTGCAGCAGGTCAGCCTTAAAAAAGTTGGCCGGGATCACGAGAAGACGAGGGCTGAGAAATCAAAGTTAAATGCGGAGAGTTTGTCAATGCCCGAAGGTGCAGAAAGCTAGACCATGTGTGAGTGCCACGCTATGACCGAGCAAGAGAGTTTGTAGCGGAAAATGCGAGGACGCTGATAGGATGGTTTTATGAGGGGGAGTGTTTGCGATACGTCTCTTGCCTATTGGTGAGTTCTGGTGAAAGTTCTCCAAGGTATTTTTCTTTTCTTCCTTCTTTTTTTTCTGTTTTAGATAAGAATCTGTGGCGGATGAGAGATGGTGTTTCATGGATACAATTGCTGCTGTTCTTTCCGGATAGGTTTTAGGGTTAGAACGATAAGGTAATGAAATTCCAAGAAATCGCGATTACCTGGTTTCATACCTGTCCGTTCTGAGATTGTTTCGCAGAATCCACATTCGCCCCCTGCGCACCATATAAGAGTGACGAAGTCGAGGAGGTCAATCAAACCTTCCACTAAACTACAGCCCACAATTGATTTCCTTTTTTTGTTCATGAAAATGGCTTGTTGGACAAAGCCCTATCGTATTACAATCCCCCCCCCCGGGTGTTAGGGCGCACAATATTGTCATAAGGTGACCAAAAAAATGGATGTTCTATCCCACTGGTAAAGATTTCCATCATACTTGGCTAAGGGGATATCCTCTTGGCCAAGTAAGTCACTTTTCATGATAGAGTACGGTACTCGTGCCAAGGTTGTGGCTTGCTGCCACAACCCCTGTCTGTTCGCTCACTCTCAACCAGGTGCACTCCAGAGTCCCTGCCAGAATGATTTGCCTGCGCAAACCGGACTTGTCGCTCAACGCCACCTTTTGTGGCTTGAGATTATGGCTCAGTAAAACATTGTGGCATCTAACATAGTTTATAATAATATTATCATAATATTATTATAATTATATTAATTATTATGATATTAATTTTATTTTCCCCAACCGTACCTGCCCCTTAAGACCCTTAACTATAATCTTTAACATTTCCCTTTCACCAGCTTGAATATTCTATAAATTTCATCTCATCCAGTAGGGGCTTTTAATCTGCTCTGTTTATCTATTTCTTTGAGTAACAATAATACATCCAAGTCCAACGGCAAAACTCCAAGTCTACCAACTTGCAAACTTGAAGTTCTATTGAACAGTTCAGTTCCATTGTGCTTCATATTTATATTTCTATGATATCATACTTTGAAAGTCATTTTCTCCCCTCAGGTATACCATATTGCTCCACCTTCAAGCTTTTTAATCAAGAGATATCCCATATCTACTAACTAATCCAGCCCATTCCCTCACGAGCCGGCCCGTGACAAACGCTAGACTCAACAATCTCCTGAGGTCCACCCGGGGATATAAGGGCTGGCCCAGAGACCCCCGGGGTTAACGGCCCCAGACTAGTATTATCTCTTCATGTTCAGGCTTGCATAATATCGTAAGAACTGGAATAATCGAGAATAACACTAGGACATCCAGTATTTCACCTTTTTAGATTAGGGGAGGGAGGCAGTGCGAAAAGACTCTCTCTCAATCCTCAGTCGAGGTAACTGAAACAAAAAATCCGGACCTCACCAAGAGAGGCAGCTCCAAAGTCCCAGCTAGATCCACAATTTCCAGTCTTAAGGAACCGCCCCCTTTGTGCTATGTTCACCTTCCATCACTCGTATTCTTGATTAAGAGAATTGTAGAGATTTTGCGGAGATAGAGAGAGTTCTGGTGTGCAGCGGAAGACCGTTGATTAGGTTATCTAGAAAAAGGGGAAGACTACAGGATACATATATCCTTCATGGCTGTCAAAATGCATTACGTGGAATGAAGCTCTCAGAGATCACCTCTGTATCCAAAATAGCAAGCAGGAAGCCCACACCAAACTACCATTTTCTCAGCAATTGTTGATAATGGGGATAACGATCCTGTTGAAAACGGATGGAATTATCGGGTTGGGTTTGTACTGTGAAGGGAAAGGGTTTTGTGGAAAGGAAAATAAAATAATTGAGTCGAGAGTCGAGATGTTGACATGTCCGAGTGAGGATATTTCCAACGGGTATGATATTGGAGGCCAAGCCCGCCACGTGAAGGGAGGGGGACTCCAAAGCCATTGTGCCATGATACCCGGGGGATCTCCGTAGACAATTAAAAGTAGGACAGGACGATATCACTGTAGGTGAAGAAAAGGATATTTCTCTACAATCACTATCGGCGTTTAATGCCTTTTTGTTGCGCCAACGTTACGTGCATACTCCTTCGGCGGAGGGAACTCAACCAACTCAGCAGCTCAAAGTCAAGATTTGGTATCTGTGGGGATCCAATGCGAGGAGGGAATGACAACAAACCTTTGTTCATGTAGCCAGAAAAAATGCTATCCCAAGGCAGAAGAGTTGCTTGATTATGTGTGGATTAATTTATTCTGACATAGTTTTGATGACAGGTATTTTCGGGACTATTTGCAAAACTACCTTTGAGCACTCCCAAGGGAATCTGATTTGCAGACATGGGCTCGTTTAGCGGACAGTGCGAGAGAAATAAAGGTATCTGGGCCTTTTCGAGCACTGGTCTGGTCAGAGTGTAGGCTGAGTTCTGGCTTCTGGGCTCATCGGGTCGGTCTCGGCTGGACTGCAGATACTGTGTTGTAATGGTAGGGGGAAGTGTGTGATATCTTCTAGTGACTTACTTTCAGGCTGGGATAAACCGGTCCCTTAGATACATAAAAACACTCTCAGAGATCTCATGCCACGACATGTAGACATCCGTTCGACAACCTTTGGTATCATAACTATATCTGTAGGCTTCCGAGTGAACGAAAATGATATGTCTAATTTTAGCTACTTTTTAGGGTATGCATACTTGTATCAAACCTGGAGGTCAGGATCAAGAAAAGGAGTAGAAGATTAGCATGCAGAATTATCAGGATGAAGAGCGTTTGGAGAAGGATGTGGTGGAGGAGAGGCTATAATGAAAGGTGTTATGTACTTAGGTTTGTACTCATACTAACGTTGCAGGTGGTGGGGAATATATCATGATATCTCAACCAAAGAATATTCATTAACGTGTGATTTATCCACACTTTAGGGATCTACCGAGTGATGAGAAATTGTTCAGCATCCACGTTGCACTCGATGCTTGGAAACTAGGGGAACTTTTTTTTTGATCCCTATTTGGTGTGCCCCGGGGCTGAACCGCTAGCGGATATCATCAGATATTGAATGGATATTAGCGAATACTTGCATAATATATCTTCGGGCATCTTCAGATATCTGCATCTATCTTCATATGTCTGCGACGCACTGCCGGAATAATTTTCTAATCGGATGGCACACGCCGAAAGCTTAGCATCAATCTTTAGGCTTGCCTAGCCATCTGAAATTGCCGCAAGAGAGAACAGATGATCCTGATATTACAATGTTATCATATTAATGATAATACTATTAGTTGTTACCGCGAAAAGAAGCTGGGAAAACATGAAATAAAATTTAATGACAATACAAACCAAATGAACCAATGCAAAAGCTGGAAAGGTAAGAGGAAAAGAAGAGAAGTGGTGGATAAGAAAGCAGAATAAAGAAGAGGAGAAGAGAAGAGCTGTCAATCAGAGGTATCATAACCGCAGGATGGGGTTCGAAAAAGGGGGATGGATGGAAGGTAACTCCCTGCAGGCAAAGCTAGTTGGTAAGTTAAGGAAGAAAATAAAATTGAATTGTCTAGCTAAAACCAATTAAAGCTAGCCCGACACTGCAAGGCAAGGAGCACCAGGTGTGGTATAGTAGAACCCTGAACGGCAATGATTCATTGCTTATTTATTCTAGCCTGCCATTCGACCTTGGGTTGCTTTCAAATTTTCTGGGGACTCAGAGGGAGTCGGGCTCTCAGCGCATACCTCTCCATTCCCCGACAGCTTGCTTCACAAACGCGGTTCCCACTTCGGCCAATCGTCTCGTCCCTTGGCTCCACATTACGAGTAGACGCTTCCAGGTAAGCGCCCAAGTTGAGAGTCTAGGACACCACCTACCGGGTGTCTTTAGTGAGAAATTATCTACTATACGCTTGGCACCCTTGGGCTGGGCTAAGGGTAGTTTTCTACGGTATTAGAATATTGAGGGGTTACTGTCTTCGTAGCTGTTTTTCACGTGAGTTTCTGACCAGGTGTCTATGCCGGTAGCCCGTACAATAAATATCTAACTGGTACCGCGTTCACCGTTCCCATGGCTCATTAAGCTAGCGAGCTTGTTGATGCTGAGATGCGCCCGAAGGCGATACTTGCACGTAACGTATGTGGAAGAGTGCAATTGAGCGCGTAGTGTCTATGGAGATGCTAGTTGGGGTACTGGGGGGCAATCTTACTGGCGGAAGGCTCTAGGGGAGGGAGTCTTGACTTCATCTCTCTTCTGATATGGGGTATTTAATTGTTATGTGTTAGAAAGTAGAGGGTGCTATGGCGAACGGGAGATGGCCAGGGAACATCCTACGATTTGATACTTGTCTTGTCTCTCCCGGATATGTCAGAGTGAACGGAGTTACAAGTAACCACGGTTACTCTCGTTTGAGCAACATTATTTCACATTCGTCCGCTGCGCACGCTTAAGATTACTGATAAAGCTATCATACGCGCCACATCCCCTGTCCCAACCTATCCATCACCTCCCTCAACCACTTTCCCCTTCTCATCCTCAAACACCGGCCTCCCCCCCTCCCCAAACACGGCCCACTTAAAGTACCCGCACCCCTGCCCAACACCTCTATACTCGCCATCGCAACTCCAGAAATACTTCTCACCACCCCACACGGGCCGAAGCACCATCCTCCCGCCACACCCACACGCCGGCGTGACCTCAGGCCCGTAATCATCTCTATACCACCGGAATGTGATGGCAATCCTAATGTCTCCGGAAATCTCATGTCGATCAACCCTCTGCACCAGCGGAATGGAGTGTTTCCAATTCTCCTGCATCCCGGCGGTCATCACGAGCAAACTATTATGCGGAAGATGGATAGCATAGGTACCTAAGGAATGGGAACTAGGTGGCTGCTTCTGGATACGGAATTCCCGCGTAACGCCTAGCGAGAGGGTGCATATTATCGCACGGGGGCCAATGTACGTTAGTGCGTCGGTGTGGAAGCCGACGCCTTGTTGCGGGCCCGCATAGCAGTTTACCAGCGCGGCAGTGATCCGCCCACGAGGCTCCAGCGTACGGAAGTGCTCCTCGACCAGTCCTGCCGCCGTCGACATTGAGGGGGTAAATGCGCGCGGGGGGGGCAGGGTTAAGCCTTGGTAGTAGTATGGTGTCGTTGCTGGGGTTGTGGTGTACATTACACTCCGGTGCGGGGATTGCACGGTACGGGAGAAGAGGTTGAATTTGCCGGGGGGCGGGAAGGTGGTTGATTCATGGAGGAGCTCTTGTAGTAGGGTTGTCGCTAGGGGGGGTGGGAGGAAGGTTGTGTGGAGGACACAGGGGGTATGCAGGGCTATTGATGCTGGGGTGTAGAGATGCAGAGTTTGGCCTTTCGGTGGGGGTTTTGGTGTGGAGGTGGTGGTTGAAGTGGTAGTTGACGTACCCTGAGTCGAGATAAAGGTTTCGAGGGAGGATTGGTTGGTTGTTGAAGGGGGTTTTCGTGCTTGGGGGGTTGTTTGGCCGGCCGCTAGGAGTTTGCTAGTAGCTTCTATGGAACCGTTGACAGACAGTAGGATATCTATTAGTGCCGCTGTTGATAATGACGGATGGAGTGATGCGAGAATCGCTATCTTAGTGTCCGTATCCAGCTGCTCATCTCCCTCCTCAGAGACATACTTTGCGGTCGAACACCCTCCGGCGGCAGCCCGAGCGGTCGCGGAATTTTCCGCAGAGCCTCTTCGGTCTCTCTGCGACTTGGGTTCGAAGAAAGACGGATCAAGTGGCTTTTTCAATTTCTTTCTCGAAGGCGGCATTTTGTCTATGCTGTCCAAAAACGAATTGCTGAACTGTAGAATGAGGGGAGAATTTGACGTCAGGATCGAGTTCTTGGACCAGAACCCGTTTGTGTAAACAAAGAAGACGCGTTGAGTGGTTTCCCTCTCACGTGACAATGAATCTTGTTCAGCATGACGCGTGATATCCTAGCCAAGACCTTTGACCCGCCAGATCCCTCGGCTATGAGTGCTGTCAGGGACCCAGGTGATCTGATATGGTTACTCTTGTCACTCAGAAGTTGGCGTGAGAGCTTCATTCACAAGAGAGCTTGCCATCACATCTCTCTCAATTGACGGACGAATAATCTAGCTCAGGGTTTATACCACCAAATACGTTATTCTACAGATTACCCAGATCTGAAGAACCTCACCACCCCTTCCTCCATCCCCTCTGTGGATCACTACACTTCTACTAGAACACAAACAAAGTTCCCCTTCATCCATCGCATCCCCCCCCCTCCCCCGCTGGGCATTCCGCCCACAATGTTCCACTATCGAACCGAAGGCTTCAACGGCTACTCCGTGAAGTACTCCCCCTTCTACGACAACCGTCTCGTGACCGCCGCTAGCGCCAACTTCGGCCTCGTCGGTAATGGTCGATTATACATACTCTCTTTGACTCCGACGGGGATCATCTGCGAGCGATACTACGACACGCAGGATTCGCTCTTTGACGTTACCTTTAGCGAGTCGCACGAGAATCAGGTTGCTGTTGCGAGTGGAGACGGGAGTATTAAATTGTTCGATACAGCGTTGGAGGGGGTTTTTCCGATCGCGAATTGGGGGGAGCATAAGAGGGAGGTTTTCTGTCTCAGTTGGAATTTAGTAGATAAGAGCGGGTTTGTGAGTTCTAGTTGGGATGGGGATGTTAAGCTTGTTTGTTCACCCTTGTCTTCCGCACCAGGGGAAGTAACTAATGCTTTGGAAGTGGTCACCAACTAGCCCCCACTCACTTCTCACGATCCCGATCCACAGTTGCACCTACAGCGCGCTCTTCTCCCCACATTCGCCAACTTTAATCTCGACCGCATCCTCAGACTCCACCGTCCGCCTCTTCGACATCCGCACCCCACCTTCCTCCCCCACCCTCTCGATCCCCGTATCCCCCAATGCCCCCTCCGAACTCCTCACTCAAGACTGGAACAAATATCGCCCAGATGTCCTCGCCGTCGCCGGAGTAGATAAAGTGATCCGAACCTTTGACGTACGCTTCCCCAACAATGGCCCACTCGCCGAGCTGCTCGGGCACGAATACGCAGTGAGAAGGATCGCCTGGAGTCCACATTGGGGGGACGTACTCATCAGCGCAAGCTACGACATGACGGTCCGGGTCTGGAGTGACGGGAGCAGCAACACTACAGCTCCAGGGGTAGGCGGGGTGGGAGGATTACCCGGGGAGGGGCGGGGCAGGATGATGGGCGTCATGGATCGGCATACGGAGTTTTGTGCAGGCGTGGATTGGTGCTTGTTTGGTGGCGAGGGGTGGGCTGCTAGTGTTGGCTGGGACGAGGCGGTTTGGGCATGGGATGTGGGAAGCGTTATGGGAAGTCGGTAGGATTCGCCCGGGGGAGTGGGATGGGGGTTGGGGTGTGTAATAACATGTTTGATAAGTCATCACAATGGCCGTATGTGCCGTGAGAAGGGGTGAGCGGGTGATATCAGACGGCGAGATTTCCTATTACTAAAAAAAACAATAACGGTTTACTATTTCTCCTATTTCCTTATCGCAGAAATCAGTTACAGTACTTTCGAAGCCACTAGATTAAGGGTAAGGCATGAGCACTGTATGATTCCGCCGGTAGGGTACCTGCTAAACTCGCTATTGTACTCGTACTCGTACAGTGAGTTAGCTCTAATCAGCGCTGGATGCGAGAAGACTGCTTTTTCGTTCAAGCATTTACTGATCAAGCTGACCAATCCGCCATCGCACAGCATTGCCCGGGCCGATTATTCCCAAAAGCCCAAGATGGAGGAAAAATCTCCTGGCACATACCGCGCTGCCATGACGTCATCATTATCACTTTTATCCCGTTTCACCCAGCTTCGCCTCAGCAGAAAGACAAATACAGCGAAGCGCCAGCAAGGATCCCCATCTGGTTGTCGCACGTCGCGTGCGGTACGAGTACCGGCACGGGCACAGTATCACAGATTACGTCCTGGTTAGCACTTTCTGCAACGGGGTTTTTTCACACTCAATGGAGCTTGTGACCATTCATCATACATCACTCGCTCCCCAACCTGTCCGGTATTCACAATGCGACGGGAGAGGAAGAAGGGGTGGGTGGATTGAGTTGATTCGCTCCCCTCCACGTATTAGTGGTGTTATAGGGCGATGGAAACTTGCCGCAAGCTAAAAATGTTGGCTAAAGTAATGGCCGGGCTGAAGGGAGAGAGGTCATGACGACGGACCGGGAGGTGATTGGCTTGCTAGTTGATGGAACCACTAGAGATTACAAGGGATATAGACTAGATACGGATCGGACGGGAGTTGTATCAAGCGCCGTACACTGCTGGTTTTTCTTTCCCTTTTTTATGGTGAGGTGCGTTATTGGAGAGGATTATTTGGTCTTGGTAGTAGGGTAGGTTAGGCTAGGTGATTTCAGGGGGTTTGTGTCCGGAGGCGATTTCGAGACGTGGGATGGGGTGGGGAGTGGTGGATATTGTTGAAGGTTCTGGATGGATGTCGATTTGATTGTAATGGATTGCGGAGAGTTCGGAAGTTTGATAGATTAGTGTGGAGGTGCTGAGATTTACGGAGTAGAATCTCCAGATATGTCTTTGATTTGTTATCACGGGGGTGTACGGAGGAAAGGAGAGCATGAGGAGAGAGGTTGAGATAGGTGTGGTGATCGATGGAAGGATCAGGATACATTATTTATGCTTTTACTCATACAGCCGTCTTGACCGTTAGTTTCGAGAAGAGACGAATAAAGTTGTTTTACCTTACCTCTCATTCTTGTCCACATTACCGCTACAGTTCCCCACATATTCACTTAGTCTTTTATCTACCACTGCACAATCGGTCCTCCACTGTTAGCAACACTAATAGATATTTGGTTGGAACTTCTATGGGTGGGGTGTGGGTGGGTTGTGCCGATGATATTATAGGTGTGTGCGCGAGGGGATTAAGTAGTCGACGGCGGGGGTACTGTATGATACATATTATGATTATTACTCTAAACCTTGGCTTATTCGGGATTCACTCCCTAGATGTGGTATTGCACAACGGGTTGAGGGGCATAGCCCGCCTCACCTCGGAGAGTATTATATCATACCCATCTCGCGCAGAGTATCTGGCCGTATGATACATCCAATGCTATCTCACCCGGCACGTCCCGAGAAACCGGGTTCGGGGGTTTGTGTTATGTTGTATTTGTATTTTTGATGAGGGTTCCGAAAGGTTCCCTGATACCCCCCGTCGGCTCAGCGTTTGTTTGTCAGTGGTTATCCACTTTCCTTGACGGCGTTTTTACGTAGGCGTTTTGTTGCTCGCCGTAAAATTTTGGCACTTCTTACCGCTAGGGAAGTCTGTTTTGAGCTCTCCAAGGAGATGTGGGTGTATCGGGTCTTATAGAAATTTCATGTTTCTCTAAATGGGTTCCGTCAAGAGGGTTAGATTGTCTTACGCTCCTGGGGGCTTGCGCAACTGTGTTTATATCGATAGGTTAAACATAGACAGTGGCTGCCGACCGATTCTGCAGCTGCTCCGTAACTTAATAGCTGTTCCGAATTTTCCATCTCGACTGTTGTGTGTAAGGGGGTGCCAGCTCTGGAACCAGTGCTGTAGGAAGGAATGGCGGGTCATCAATTTACCTCTTTGGCGAATAAAGGTTGAACGGGACAGGCCGGCTGCTCCCAAGATCAATCAGTGCACCCCCCGCAGTTCTGTGTCCAAGGTATGATATCATACCATTCCCTACGGAAACAATTCCCCCCGTAATGGCCATTCCACCTCCCAAACTCACCGCACCTCACACCCGCATGCGCCACTCCTCCAAAGTGCAACACTTCCCAAGCCAATACCCCCCCGCCACAAACCTGCCATCACGAACCCTCACTCGGCCAACCCCACAACCACATTGTTGAAATTCCCTTCCATATCTGGAATAGACAGGGTGGTACTGTACATCAAGCTTCGTTGCAGTGGACGAGGGTTTACGTTAAAGGAAATCTGTGGCTGGTTGCTTCTAGTATAGATAGTTTAGCACCCCCCTTACCTTTCTTTCTCAATCAACCTCAGTAGTTTCAACACACAGCGCCACAAATGCCAACAACCTCACGCCCGTGGTACGGTATGGTATTATGCACCGGCGATACTCCTCCACATCCGCTCGGCCAACCTTGGAGGAGTAATTGACGGATTGGGTGCCTGACCCCTGACCCGGTACGTCTGCCGAGGGGAATGTCTCCGGGCTCTTTTCTGAGGGATGGAAAACGCTCGCATTTTTTCCGGACGAATCGGTAGCTAATTTACGTATGATAATACTACTACCTTTTGAACAAAAAACCGATTCCAAAAGCCCTGCTCCGTGCTACTTTTCTTTTTATCCCCAACCCTAGTATCGAGTTCCGCTGTCGCCCCCTTCGCCTTCCTAATCGCCAGGTTAGCGCCCCGTTCCAAAATATGATAAACCGGAGGAGTTAGGAATTGCCAATCAACTTGCGGTCAATCCCGTTCACGTGATCCAGAGTGTGAAAGTGGGGTGCGCCTTTGGTAATCCACGGTTGCTTATGAATATCCAAGTAGAGTGCACCCAGTGCCAGCGTTCCTTGCATATGTGGTGTTGCGGAATTCCGCTGCGGTACAAGCACTAGCACAGCAACATCACGGCAAATGGCTACATTCGAGTACGGTACCGGTACTCGATTGCAATCCCGGTACTGTAAAAAAAATAAAAATAAAAACACCCGAAGCACACTATCAGATCGTCAGCTTGCGCCGGCTTTAGACTACAGGGTTTGACGAAAGTGAGAGTGAGATCGGACATGGCACGTGGTCCGAACTCATACCATGTCAGGAGCTTTTGTCTTTGCATCTGGAGATTTCGGGGCTGATGTTGGTTGAGTTGCAGAGTTTTGATTCTATTAGTGGAACGTGTGAACTGGTGCGGTTGTAGTGGGGGGAGCATCGTAGTCGATCGCATGGATTTCTCAGTTTGCTATGAACTAGGGAAGGTTGAAGCAGTAGGCGCTGGCTGCTCTTACCGTCTCGCGGGGCCAAAGTTCGCCGTGCCATATAGGCGAAGGGGTGCGTACTGGGGGTCTCCTGGTGTATTTTCTCTTCCGCCGTGCCAGATATGGCAATTCGTTAATGTCTTCTTCCGGTTTCTGTTCCATGAGAACGGCTGGACGGGGCTCGGGCAGACCGTGTCTACTCGCATGGTAGGTCGAATTGTAGCTGGACACTACCCCATAGAGTATTGCCCGACAAGCGGGTAAGCGGGCGGGGTGGGACGTGCGTCGGGGAATATTATTAATCGTGCAGTATCGGATGTGGGGATTTATAACACAAGAGCCTATCGCCTACGTATGCATCATGTGTTTGCATGCAACCTGGGGGTAGGAATTGCTGCTCTCCCGAAGAGAGGAACTTTGGGTGATACTATACGAGTACTCGTAGCTCCTCCTGTATGTGACACTGGTGTCCTGTTACTTATGGGAATAGTTCTGGGGTGTAGAATTGGAGATGTATCAAGAGATATAGATTGAGTTGGACGGGTTTGCAGGGTAACCGGCCGGCTCGAATTATGCGCAAAAGCCCGTTTTTCCTTCGGCACGTCCAGTTACCGTACATTACTCGGCTCGGAATCCTTAGGCTACGGATTTATTCACTCCCAGATCACTACTCTGAGAGTGTGCGAATTCTATTCGGGCGCGCAAGTACGGGGGGATGGAGGATGCGGATCTCTGAGATAGCGCCTGTCCATAGTATTTCTAATATCATACGCTGCAACAAGCAAGCACAGACGTATCTTACAAATCCAATGGTGCATCCCACATGGGTTTGGAACCCCTCAAACCCCCAGAAAGCCCCTTCGTCGCGGAGACCACAGCCCTCCACCGTACCCCCCCCCTCCTCGGATTTCCTTCTCCACTAACACCAACAGCGGTAACAAGCCGAGAGTGATCCTGAATGACTACCTGGGACAAGGTCTAATCACACCGACTCAAGTTAATTTACCAATCCACTTTCTGAACCCAGAGCCTGTGCTGTTCCCGGGGAGGATGTACGATATATAAGAAAAGAAAGAAAAGTGTGTTAATAGCGCAGAGATTGAGAAAAGTAATGTGCCAATCATCCAATGCATATTACTGCACGAAATCAGATTAGGTCATCGGTGCCGTCAGGAACTACTAGGAACATCTCGGCCGAGAGAGAAGTAAGCTGGACCCGTGTTACCTTGTCACGTGGCTTCGTGCGGCGGAATTACAAATCAGCAATTGATAGCCGCTTGGCGGGGGTTCTTCCGGGTGGGAGATTGATATAGGCACAGATATTGGGTAGACTAGGTATGTTTATTGCAGTATAATACGAGTAGGGTGGTGGTACGGGTGTTCGGCGGTGATGCGGGCCGTGTTTTTCTGCACATGGTAGAAGCACGTCTTCCTTTTTTACTCGATTGTGCGGGAAGGCTCCAAGTTCTCGGTGCGCCACCGCCGACGTACAGATGTATCTTTCAACTATGATACGAAATCAATTCTCGGGCTGTCGCTCGAGTTATACCCTCAAGTACCGGCTCGAGGAGGAGGACACTATAACCCCTCCCTTTTATTTCTGATGAGAGTATCATACACCGCATACCGGATGATGAATGATACCGAGAACTTTAAACATTCCCACTGTCAGGGTTGTTGCGACTCGATGGGAATAACGGGGGCAATTAAATTAGGTTCAAACCTGCTGAGAAATTGGGTTTTCTCCCAACAGGGATGTAGCGTTCCCATTGCCTCTCCGCCATCAATCTCAGGAGGGCCGAAGAGGAAAGTTCGAGTACAGTACTCGTACGGTAGGTGTTAAGGGGATAGCGTCATTGTTCGCTAGTATTGTACGACAGCAAACCCATTATCGGTAGATTAACAACCGGACGAGGCGGAACTGACCTGAGCTTGTTGCCTGATGCTTGCCACAGGAGTGCTTGGTCGTGGCCCCCTCGCCCGGAGGCATGATGCATGTGTGTCGACACTTGGTCTACCCCCCCGGGAGGAATAGAGTGGTACATACCGGTATTGTACGAGTAGAGTGGTCTGGTAGGCGGTTCGGTATGCTCGAGTAGAATGCTATTACAAACCCAATGAGAAGGGGTGTTGGGATGGACATAAAAGAGGTCGAGGGCGGCAGTTGTCAGAGGGGAAAAATTTCATATCCATCAGAATAACCTCCATACCAAGTACCATCGTACTAAAGTTTAATCGACACTCCAAGTCCCCTTCCCAATTCCAAACTCCCACAACCCGCACAAAAAATTCACAAAATGTCTCCTCCCAGCATAACCCTCTACTCCCACAGGGCCGGTCCTAATCCGTGGAAGGTCGACATCGTTCTCCGCCACTTGAACATCCCCTTCGAAACCGTCTTCATAGGGATCAACGGCGAGCACAAGCGCCCCCCATACACCAACATCAACCCGAACGGCCGCGTACCCTCACTCATCGACCACTCCAACAACGACTTCACCATCTGGGAGTCCGGCGCGATAATGCAGTACATCGTGCAGAAGTACGACAAGGAACACAAACTGCTCTTCGATAACTTCGAGGACAACATGCACGTGGAGCAGTGGTTGATGTTCCAGATGAGCGGCCAAGGACCGTATTATGGACAGGCAGCCTGGTTCACTCGCTATCATCCTGAGAAGGTTTGTTTGTTTACTCTTCTATCAAACTTGTTCCTCGTGGGTGACGGCGGCTAATTGGGGTTAGGTCCCGAGCGCGATTGACCGCTATGTGAAGGAGATAAAGAGGGTTCTTGGCGTCCTCGACGCTTGGCTTGCGGATAAGGAGTATCTCGTCGGTGGGAGGTTGTCTATCGCGGATATCGCGTTTGTTCCGTGGCACGAGGCGTTGGGCTTTTTGGATAATGAGGAGGTGAATAATTGGAAGAAGGAATTCCCCAATGCTGCGGCTTGGCACGAGAGAGTTATGGCGTTGCCGGCTGCGAAGGCGTCTTTTGAGGCCAAGAGGAAGGCGGGTGAAGCCCAGCAGAAACAATGAGGGTTGTCACGTGAGGATTTGTGATTGAGTGCTGCGTGCTGAGCACCGGGTGGGTTTTGTTTCGGTTTAGTCTAGTTGAAGTAATATCTACATTAAGGGATCTCCTACAAAATGCATGTGATACTCTTTACCGTAGGCCGTGAAGGGGCTAGAGGAGGGAAGCTCCTCACCATCGGTATGTAGAAAACGTACTTGGCGAGTGGAGGGAGGATCACGTACCAAGATTGGTATTTTTGAATTTACATTATTACATGAGGGAGCGAACGAGAGGTCTTCTACCGATTGAACAAGACATTAATTTTTTTTTTTGTTTGGTTGGCTAACCACCGCGCTCTACCTGTTCCGTGCGAGGACAGGGGAAAGTATAGGGAGTTTTGGCCGTCAGTTCAGGAACATAGCCACCCGCATCATAATTCCGGGAATAAAAGCTCCGGGTGTCTGAGGGATGTTATTAGTTAGAAATAAAATCTGGGAATAAATAGTGAGGAATCGAACTCGACATAGGACTGCGCCTCGGTAGTCTGGAGTTTCAGCCACCGAGTGTTGCGCGGACAGAGAACCTCTGGTTCGTGGTCATGGCATTGAGTCTGCCATCGGGGTGCGGAAGCCTCTTTGAACGGTTTTAGTTAGTGGTTGCCGTTATTGCTTGACCGGGTATCACGCTGACTTAGTAGGATGGGTATTCGAGTAATAGGAAAAGGCCCTAGAGACCTCGAGGGTGACTGGTCAAGTGTGTTGCTCTCAGTTATTGTGGGAGAGCTCTAGTTGCGCGTAGTGCTAGTTGAGTACCGTAGGGTAGCTGCGCACCATGCAGTGCGATTACCTGTGGACTATGCCGTGAAAGTAGCTGCACGGGTAGCTGTGCACAAGGCGCGGGCCAAGTGTGTACAGTAAACTACAGGTACTTGCTGTACTCGCGGTAGTGCACCCAGTAGTAGATCACAGTGTTCCCAACGGGCCAGGTAGGCCAGGCCGAAGGAAAACCGGGCCTGGCCTACGAGAATTTCGGAGGATCTAGCCTGGCCGGAGCCTATAGGCCTCGAAGTAACTGAGCCGGGCCCGGCCCGGCCTGCCTATAGGGTGTATAGGCTTTGTACTACCTGCCATTTGGAGCTCGCTTAGCCAGATGTTTTCTTCCCTTTTGTTTTTAACTTCTGTTCAATGTGACTTGAGTTCTCCCAAGCTTTCACCTGCATAGCGAATTCTCTCTATGCATTACTACGCGGTCCGGTAGTAGCACCTGTTCCAAATCAGTTATTTCTAGTGGAAAGGAAAAGTTAAAAACCCTGGCAAATTATAGGTGGTCATACACATTCTCGTGAGTGAACCAAATCTAAACTTCTTGCGGGTTCCCCGGGGGGGGGGAACACTGGGGGATGAGTGCCAAATGCGAAGTGTTTGGAAACTTTTTCTAAATTTGACCCGATGGTTTCTGTGACAACAGTTTTTCAATGCCAAGGGTCCGGCCTATAGGCGCCCACCAGGCCTGATAGGCTACCGTAGGCTGATGGAATTCGGCCTATATCGGCCTAGCCCGTTGGGAACACTGGTAGATCAGTAGAGGGTAAAAAAAAGAGAGAGAGAGCCTAGCCGTTAAAAAAAGCAAAAAGGTTACGTTTCTGAAAACCTATGTACTGAATGTCGTCAGTTCTGCGATGGAAGCGGTAGATAGAGTAAACAGGATTGAAATTGCATACAAGTACCTATATTTTCATGATAATAGTGTATATTCCCTCACACATTGTTAGTGTTTTGGCAAATCCAAAACCCACATATGGTACTACTTCTAGGACATGCTTTATGCTATTATATTAATATTTCATGATAAGAATTTGGAATTAAGCAAGTGATTCATTCTTTGGTTTCTGGGTATAATGATCCCTCTTTGGATAGTTAGTTATTGGCGATGGGGAATGATACTTCTCTTCTTCTCCTTCTTTCCTTAGTCTTACGATAGCATTAGTCCTCTGCCTATATTATGGATAGTACAAGACCTTTGTCTTCTATGGGGAATGCCTATCGTAAGCATTCTCTAACTCTTCTTTGTGAAGAGCTTTCCTTGGTGTAACAATAAAGGTTGTGATAATGATAAAGATTGTAAAGGTGTTTTATATTCGTTAAAGTAATAAGTAGGAAAGGTACTTAGAATTCAATCTAATTTTATTTATACTAGTACCACTAAGACTAGCATACGACTAGTCTCTCCCCACTTCTGTAAAACAAACTATCTAAAATACACTACTGTGGACCATTCCACCCTGCGGACCATTCCACCCCACAACTACTTCTTTCAAACATAAATTCAAAAATCACTACCTATGTGGGCTCACGGGCACTCACAGCGACTAGAGCTAACCCGGATTAAAGCATCTTTCCACCCCGCCACCTAGCCACCATCTCATGCCCTCACCTCTATACACTTTTAACACAATTTGGCTAACAAACTCAACATCGGAAACATACAGTCTATCCCAAGATCCCTCCGTTCTCTTATAATGCAACTCAAGATCCAAGTAACCTCCTGCCAATACCAGCCCATAAAAGGGGTAGCAGGATTCCTTTAGCAGCCTGCTTATCTTAGCCTACCTTAAGATTACTGATGTCTGTGTTGCCAAGATTAGCTCGTCCCACTGCTAGTGTTGAGAATGCCAAAATCGATTGTGACATACCCGTCAATGTCGGGGCTGTTTCTCACAGTGTTCTGCGAAGATGGCGCATTTCTTGGTGGCTGTAGCGGAAATGGCAGTACCACAACAGGACCACTCACACCATCGCTGATGAGGTAAAAAGAACTACTTCTTCGGCAATATCACCTCACCTGGCAAGATGCAGCCACTACTGTCATGTCTCTTCTTGCACCGGGTAAAACTCGTAGGATCTCCTATCAATACTGTCCTACCATTTCTTTCCACCATCAATGTGCCATGAAAGAGGTTACCTGCCACAACTAACTTCCCATCTACAACCCCAACATGATGAGGAATTCCAAGGCCCAACCACAGATGATTCATCCACCAACATTTCCATCTTGATTTTTTTTTTTGTTAAATCCTAGAATCTATTTGCTTATAGGTGCAAACCTCCACTATAAGAGTACAGCCTGGCTAAAGCACAGATCCTAGATACAAGGGCACCTTTGCTGTAACGTGTTCGCAAGGTGCTAATCACATTGTCGGTAATAGATACGATAGTTGGCAGGTGGCCTGCTCTTCCAGAGAGGAGGCGAGAGCTGAGAACTAAAGGAGGCTCCGAGGGTGTACTGGGGAACAATGAAGTAACTGTTCAACCAAGTATATTGAAATACTGTCTGTCGAAGTCTGCCTTTTCCATCGTAGAAACAGGCGGTCTTTAAATACACAAATCTGTTCATGTCTAGCATGAACGAAACTAATCAAAGGTATCAATCGATACACTTTGGTAAAACTCTTTTAAGTATCAAAGCGATACTTAAAACAAAACATAAAACAAAACCAAGTATCAAACGATACTTAAAACAAACCAAGTATCAAAGCGATACTTAAAACAAAACATAAAACAAAACCAAGTATCAAACGATACTTAAAACAAACCAAGTATCAAAGCGATACTTAAATCAAAACATAAAACAAAACTAAGTATCAAACGATACTTAAAACAAACCAAGTATCAAAGCGATACTTAAAACAAAACATAAAACAAAACCACTAACCAAGTACCCGTACCAGTTACATTTGCAATAACCACTCCACACCCCCGATTTAGTCCTTAGACATGTTGGTCAAAAATCTCCTCCACAGGCCTAGGGGAAAACAAGCCAGCCCAAGTTTCTCTGGTATGGGACCAACTGCATGTCTGCCCCCATCAAAGCTCCTTCTGCACAAAACAAAAAAAGCACAAAATACGACCAACAGGAGTTAACAAGAAAACCCACACCATATTCTCTTGAGAAAGGAAACACAAAAGAAACCCAACAAAAGAAACCACCTTGATAAAACATGTTCTCCATTTTTCAGCCGGTCTAGCCTTTGCAAGCAGCTAGGAATATAGGGGAGAACCATGATCTGTTTGTTTCGTGTAATGAAGGCAACCGACCCGGACATATCGGCCTCCAGAGGCGAGATCGCTTATGGCTGGTCGGACGGGGGCATGACCGGAGGCAGTGCAATACCAACTATGCATTACCGAGTAATCCAGACATTGGTAGAGTAGGAAACCCGACTGAGTAAAAACCCAAGAAGGGCGGGAAAGTATTCGAAACCTCACACAGCTTAGCCGAGGTGGCCACCATGGAGGGAGGAAAAAGGCGGTAAACCACAGTCTGGTGGACAGGAGCAAAGCCTAGTACCAGAGAGGGTGTATTTCATTGAGCCTCACTAGGAGTTTTGAGTGTCCAAGCCTATGAAGCCATCAAGTTCGGCGAGGAAGGGGGATCATGAGGTATTTCATGGAGTTTTACCCCAATCCACCTTCCTAAACAGGAAGGCGAAATTTGGGGTCCGGAAAATAGCGGACGAGAAGCTTGACATTTCCATCTTGAGACTGCCAAATTCTTATACAAGTCTCCATTAGCAGGATGCCCTCTAGTATAGTGGAGGTACTCAGTCCAGTGGCATCGGTCTTCCTTCCTATCACAGCTGTCATGGCCGACCATGCCTGTCCTACTACGGATTCTTAACAAAACAAAGGAGTCTATTTGGGTCAGGCACTGGAGTTGTCGTGGTGCTTTCGATTCCTGGGCATAGTACTCATGCCCTTCCCTAGCGTGCCAGCTCCCCCATTCCTCCTTATGGAGCTCCTGAGAACTACATGACCAAGCCCAAAGCTACCCCCTTCCCAAAGTAGGGGGTGCAAGGGGTGTTCGATATAGACGTTAGCTCTCAGATTGACCATGTCATTTCCGTCAATGCCCATGTAACTGGGAACCCAACTGAAACTGATATGAGGGAACGCATTCAACAAGGGCACCATTACTTCCCACAACTCAGCTGAGTCACCATCCGAAAACATGTTGTCGACCAGGATGAGGGCTTGTATGCGGTCCAAGAATACATAGATCAGGTGTCTCTTGGCCATACTTTGAGCATGTCAGATGGTACACACAACAGCAAACAACTCCTATTCCACAATGCTCCA